TCACAAAAAGGTCCTACAGAGGAAATATATATAATCATTTTCAGCTTTCTTTAAATTTAAGTCTATATAGTCTTGTATGTAAAACTGTTAAAAGGGAAAAAAAGAGCGAGAGGCTTCTCATTATATTTTGGACATTCTCTTTCACATTCTCTTTCTTATATTGACCTAGAAGCATCGGAAATGTAGCTAAAAGAGGCCAAAAATGTCATAGAAAATAATCAATGGGCGAAAAAGAACAAGATCAATTGACACAGTGATCACAAAAAGGTCCTACAGAGGAAAAGGAAATGTAAAACATGATAACATACACAAAATGTCTACAAGGGTTCAAATGACGCTAAAGTAGCGAGAACAGATGCAACGAGGGGCTGAAGCAAGATTGCAATAAAGGGAATATTATGATCATAAAACCGTTTCAAATGCTGAAAGTTTGTATAGCCATGATTGAAAATAAGGGAATATTCCATAAAACTTAAGTGTGCTTTAGTGTTTTCCATTAATTTAAAAATCTTTCATCAAGCTGGTAAAGTAATCAGTAGGAATCTCCATTACGATTACTCATTCTCAGCAGAGATTTCAATGGGGCAGTATACTGAGAGAGGAGAGGACTTATCTGGTCAAATTTCGCTTCCTTTCCAGTCGTTCACGAGCTTGAAGTTTCTTCACTATCTTTGTCTTCAACCGGTTACAACATTGTTGAATGGAAGTCTGGATTACAACACAATTAATAGTCAAGCAGAAAGTCAATTCCATGACCCATCGATTGTTTGGGAATATGTAAATAGGCAACCATATATATCACAACAGTTTTACCTTTACAGCGGAAACAATTTCATTTATATCAACACCAATGTATTCCTTTCCAGTTCCCTTGAAGGGTATTTTTGTACTAACAATGCTAACAAAGACACCCATCTTATCTTGGTTTTGGTTTATCTTGTAGCAACTCCAGCTGTTCAAGAAAAGTGGTTTAGTGAATTAAGAATTATTAGTTCATGAAACGAGAGTTTCATTAATATTCATCCATGCAGCAGTCCTGGTGACAACATCAGCTCCTTGCTCGAAAAGAAGTGGAATACGATTAGCAAAACGAAATATGTTCAAACCCTGAATTTGCATAAAAACTACAAACTAAATCAGCTGGTCTGACAATGCAGATATTATTTCCAAACCTTGACTTTGCATAGAAACCAAAAAGTGAATTGGTTGGCTTGCAGTGTACAAAAACAGAAAAAGATACTGATAAATAGAACCTCAAGAAGTTTCACCAAAGGGAGATATTTTACTTCGTTATTTGATCCTATAGAGCCTTAAAGCATTCAGGGTCCAGCCCAACCTTATACTAGGCGGTCTAATTGTTATCAAATGTGGCCGCCTAACGCAGCCCTGGGTGCATCACCACCACCAGCATATGCCGGAATTTGCAAGGCAGCCGCATCACATCAAGGCTATCGTCCGCATATTCGGCCTGCTTGTGGCCGAAAATTTTGCCCAACAGGTAGGGGAAAAATTGTTATTTCCTCCCCGTAAAGGGAAATAACCCCCTCAAAAACCCTTAGAACCCAACATCTATGGTTTTAAGGAGAAAAAAATAAATAAATAAATAAATAAAAAGAAACAAAAAGATTTTTATGCTTCCAAATATTTTGAAAAATAATGGGGGCTTGTTCTTGAATGTTTGGTGGATTGTTTGATATTGTTTTGGGACTCATTTTGAAGGTTTTATGCTGAAGATGCAACAAGTAACAAAGGATTCAAGGCGTAGGATATTAAACCCTAGAAATCAAAATTTCTTGAAATTTTGGAATTGGGATTTGAGAGTTAGTTGGGAGTTGAAACTTATCTTATTAGAACTTGAGAGTTGAGACTTGTCAAATTGACTTATTGAACTTCAGTATATTTATTATTTTTTATATTTTATACGTTATGAACTTGTGGCCTTTCGAGTTTGAAAGTTATGTTTAGGTTGTGGTTGTGAGGTTGTGTCTTGAACTTGTCATTGTAAAGTATTTTGGTCTTTGGATGTTATGTGAAATTATTATTGTTACTATTAGGATGAAATGGATTACTTGATATTACATGTAACAAAACAAACTATGTTACTCTTTATTAGACTACTAGGCTATCATGTGACTCATATTAGAGAAACATAGTAAATTAAAATTTGGATTTCTACTATCGCATAAATAAAAAAATTAGTGTTTTCCACACATTCTTATATTTTTTTTATAAATTTTTGAATTTTTTTAATTTCTTGACATCGCATATGATGTGGCCGCCTCAGGACCATGTCCCGCTTCGAACTCGCAACTGCATCAAGTCCGAATCCCACATTTGAAATCCTTGGGTGGTCCACTAGTTTTAGCAAAGTATTTTATTTTATTTTTAGTAAAGTTCATTGTACTATATAAGAACCAAAATTACAAGAGGTATGGTGACCCCGCAGGGTCACTCCATACAATCCCAATTAGGGACGAAATAAACAAAATTTGTAAAGGGAAAAAAGCACTCAGAGGGGCGTAGAAGGATTGGTGGCTCTTAGTCTCCAAAGGGGAGTTAGAGCTGGTCCCATCCTTAGCCAACCGATCAGCATTTGAGTTGGCTTCTCTATACACGTGGTGCCAAGTAATCATCAAGGCACAGGTTAAATGCAAAATTTCTTCGAAGATATCATCAAGACGCCGCGGTCAAGATGAGTGATTAGAAGCCCAAGAGATAATATTCTTGGTGTCTCCCTCTATTATTAGGTTGTGAATCCAAAAGATTTTACATGTGCGAAGGTGATCCAATAGGGCAAGAGCCTCAACAAGAGTGGAGTCTGCAACTCCAATAGGACAGAAAAATAACAACACAGTGCACCCCATCACTGGCATAGAAGAGACCCCCGATGCCTGAGGGCCCTGAATTGGCAAGGGAGTAACCATCAAAATTGAGCTTAAAGGCTCCCCTATCCAGTGGTCTCCACATAGAGGTCCTTGAGATTCTTGGGTAAGCAAGGCACAACAAATTCTACCAGTTACTGTGAAAATCAGTGAATGATGAGTTCTTGAATAGTGTGTGATTGGCTGCCCAGAAAACCACTAAATTCTTGACTTTCTCCGCCAACTGCGCAGCCATGGATCTTACTCCCCTAAAATTTTTGTGGTTTCTTTCAATCCACAGTACCGAGATAGTGGATGAGATCGAACCTTTCCACAGGAGCCTTCCAGCCTTAGGCCAAGGAATGAGGAGGTTAGCTTAAAAAAGTTGGGGCACAGATCTCAAGATGACCCATGCCCAATCAAACAGTTTCAGGATGCCTCTCCATACTGCTCTAGAGAAGTCGCAGTGTAGAAGAAGATGACTGTTTGATTCTTCATCCTCCATACAAAGTACACATCTATTGGGGGTTTGCACCCTGCTCCTTTGAAGTTGATCAACTGTTAATAATCTCCCGTGCAGTGCATTCCAACAAAGCACCTGGATCCTAGGAGGTGTAAGGGGGTTCCAAGCTTTTGAGGCTATATAACAGTTGTGGCCAAAGGAGGAGGGGGAGGTGAAAGTGTGATAGGAGGAGGAGACCAAACCTGAGGGAGTAGGGGTCAGATAATCCTATTGACTCCAGATAGCAAGAGGAATACAATTGAATTCTGCTGGCCAAGGAGCTAAAGTCTTCAAGCTCATGGTTGAAAAGAGATGTCCGAAAATTAGGTGACCACGAATGAATATTTTCAGAGACACTAAAATTGTCGGCCGCCGAAGGTAAGATCATCACGGGCAATAAGAAAGACATTGGGATACTGTTCCCTGAGAGGTGTATGGCCACACCAAATGCCTGTCCAAAATTTCACCCTTGAAATGCACATATTGTATAAAGAAATCTCGGCTTCGAAGGACAGACCTCCAGAAACCAGTTTTAGCCAAGTTTTATAATCTTTCTTTTTTTTCTTCGCGAAATGTTGACTGCCAAATTTATAGTCTTCGAAGATGATTATGTCTTAAAAAAATGTTAATATATTTACATATAAGACTTAAATATGTAAGTATTTGTATTTCACAATGTTGTTTTAAATCCATAAGAGCCTGGAATAGTAAGGGTGCAAGTACAACTACATGGGGTGGTCCACCAGTTTACCCACGATTTAAAGTTTTTAGAAAAGGATATTGACCTATAAAATGTTGACATATTTTACATATAAATAAACTTAGAAATGTGTACATGTATGTACGTGTGTGTGAGAGAGGGAGAAAGACTCATGTATTTATGTTGTGTGCTTACACACACGCACGCATGTACACACACATACGCACACAAAGAAAGAGAGAGATCAAAGTATCAATGCCCTATTAGCTTTGGTGTGGTTGGCCAATGGCAAATGTTCAATCCACAGGCATCATTCTTTAGTTCCCATCCAACTTGTTCATACAATATTGGCAGAAATTTCTAATATGAAAACATTGTGGCGCAACAAGTTGAGGCAGGGGATAAAGTCAGGGACTATTTTGAGAAAGAGGGGAGTAGGGTATTGCTGCAGTTTAGAAAGGATTTGAATGATGGCAATGTAGAGGAGTTATGCCATCTACTAACGTAGTTTCCACTTTCCACCTAATTGCGGAGGCTGACATGAAGACTTGGGACCGTCAAGTCCTTTAATCGAGCACCTATTGGTGGTGTGGCGATCATAAAATTTCCTTATGCTTTTTGGTTTCAAGGGCTCCAAAGCTACCTTGTGTTCTACTATAGACTTAATCCTAGATATATCAACCATATTTATATAGCAGCCTTGTTCTCCCACCCATGTTTGTTGCATCTGATGGATAATGAAACAATTGATCATCTAATCATCCATAGGATATTCCGCTTAGAAAACTCAGAGCATCCCCTTGACTGGTTTGGCATGTCTTGTATTTTGCCTGAATCATTTGTTGGTTTCACGAGGGGATGGATTTGTGGGCATTCTAGAAGACTAAAGAAATTGTCTAGTGAATTTGGAAAGCAAGATAACAAGTTTCTCAGATATATTTTTACCTCTATAGATGAAAATATTAAAGTAATTTTCTATATTAGCATCATCGTCATCATCATCCGAGCCTTATCCCAACTATTTGGGGTTGACTATACGAATCTTGTTATGCCATTCATAGGTTCAGGATTCATGAAAAATGTGGTAAAGTTTTACGTTGGCTGCCATACCTAATACAACACTCCTCCTTTACCCCTGCTTGGGACCGGCATGACCAGATTGGGATCAGCCATGATGGAGTTAAAGTAATTTCTTATATCTAAGACTGAAATACTGGATAAAATGTGATACATGTGTGCATGTTTGTGTGTGGAAAACTCAAAATATATATTTTCACTTGTGAGGAAAACGTGATGACCACCCAACAAACATTGCAAACATGAAGGCCTACCTAGAAGAGTGCATCAGACATCTCTAAAAAGAATATACATTTTCATCTAACAAACCCAGCTAACCATTTCCAAAAATAAAAATACCAAAACGAAAGGTACCAGAGCTTTACATGCAAATCATTGGCAGTAACATAAATCATATTATGCAACAAATAACTCATATTGTGCCACAAAGAACCTACTTGCTTAACATCTTTCCCACCCAGGCTTACTCCTGCTTCAACAATAAATGGATGACCTTCAAACACTTGAGGGCCGCTTAGGAAGGGACATGAAAATCAACCACATGGCAACAAACACCGATAATGCAATGTAGTAAAACAAGTACCATACAAAATAAACCATGTTTTATTATTGTAAAAAGGGGCCAAGTTATAAAAATGTAGAGAATGGTAAGAACCATCAAAAGTTAGAAAACAATCGTAGAGTATCTTCAAACTTATCACAAACTTTTTAAAAAATCTAAAATGTTCAATTGGATTCTCAGAGGCTAGAGGAAATCAAGATCAAGCATAAAGACCACAACCTTCCAGCATAGGTTGTAACCATGTCAGGGAGCAACTCCTTGATGATCCCCAGACGAAGGTTGTACTCTCCTGCTGGACTAAGACACTGTGATTACTATTAGTCCTATGCCAGTCCATTAAATTCAAGATAGTTACAGTAGCCATAACAAGGAGTCCTCACATCACCACTAGGATCAGCAAATTTAGCCTGGCGGAACAATTGATTAATACGAACTACTTGCTGAGATGAGAGGGATTTCACAGCCATTTTAGGGTTGAAATCCGAACCCATTTCTCCTGTAAAGTAGCAACTAGAAAAAGAATCTGAAAGCTTTAGAATGATGAGTAATTCTCAAGTGAGCATTCTAAGCAACCTGACGTTTTGAAGAGGGTGACTCTTTTTAATAATATTCATTTTAGAGAGATATTGGTCCATAAGAAATAAAAGCACTATGCAACGGAATTTCATTGGAAACTTTATTTAATCATCAAGAAATGGTAAAATGAAAATGAAACACAGGGTAATAATCATTACCAATTAGACGCTCTGCATAAGATTTACGAATGTTCACAAATTCGTGATGGAGGAATTGCAACAGATTTTGCTTGGAAGTCTCTGCAATAAGGCGTTTGATAAGTAGTATATCCACAGCAGATGGGTGGTGCTTTGTTTCTACAGGAACTGGAGGCATTACATCTGTTCTTCGAGCAAAATGTATAGTGACAGTTTTACTGCAGTATAATTATAAGCATAAGAAAATGGCCTTGGATTGGACGGATCCCATGTATGGTTAAGAATGACAAATCAGTATGAACTCAGAATAGAATGAAAACCGTCGCAAATCTAAAAAACGCAAGAAAACTCACTCTGCTGCATTTGAAATGAATTTAAAAAGAAACTGTGCATAGGGAGTATTACAACCATCTGATGAATATAATGTCGAATCTTTGACTGCAACATAAGAAGAAAAAAAAAAAGAATAAAAAATATTATATGAAGATCTACGTGGTACTCGTAGAAGTTTCAAAAGTAAAACATTTTTAATCACAAAAAAATAGCAACCTAATGAGTTTTCCATATAAAATCTAGATTGTCATTTTTCTTCATTTGGATCCTGATGGTCTATTTCATTACAAAATGAAGTCATTTTTATCCCCCACCAATAGTCAAGAGTTACCAATAATTTCATAGATCAACACAACATGCTAGGCTTCTTAGAAATTCTCAATCATGGTAAAGAAGTGAAAGCACAATGCCACAAGTCAGGGAAAGACCCAAAGAAGTCACAGAAAATTTAAGTATCAGTCCAAATGATAACTTATAAGTAGTCAGGTTTGCTTCTAATATGAACTAAATAGTAGTGAAAAAATTTTAAGTTTCAGTCCATATACCACTTACTCTATATGTGGTCCAGTTCCCTTCTATAATGACCGGAATTTCTGCTCCATGCCATTGTTCCTGGTTCTCCCGCTTCTCATGTATATGAACATGAAGAATATTCCTGAATGGTTAAGAGAAGTCAGTAAGTTACAATCTGTACATCAACTTTCTATGAATGAGGAGACTTCAAAGAGAGAACCCATTTGCACATTAATAAAGAGTTAACAATGCTACTGTTTCTTCTAGTAGGTTTTTTATCAGAAAATAGAGAAAAAATTGATGTGTAGTCAAAGGCACACCTATGAATATCAATATCCAACCGACAGAATGACATATAATTCTGGCCTCTCAATGATGACAAAATTTCAATAGGAAGCCCTGTACTCATCTTGGACCAAATAAATTCCTGCATAAGACCATATTAGTCAAATGTCAAATATGAGAACTAAATGACATCACCTTAGCATAGATATTGCTTCTACATTAAACTTGTTTTTATATAATTCTCACAAATCTGCAGCCAGGGAGATGCCTAACACAGTATTTGACCTGTCACAGATTGACATGACCTTTTCTAGAGTTACGCGATAACTCACCCAAATATAAGAAATTCAATGATGCATTGTCCCAAAGAAACCACAAAATGAGATGGAGGAACACGCAAAGACCCAGAACATTGTATTCATGTATGGTACCAAAGCCAATCCTAAACCCCCTCACCTACAAATAACCAGAAAGGTATAATTTAAGCATTCCAAAGGTTGACCATGGAAAGTTTAGCACCAGGCTTTTCTTTGAAGATATTCAGCATTTTTTTACTTTTGGAATACAAATTTCAATTTTCTGTGAAGTAAATCTGAGACTCAATTCATCATGCCCCCATCTCTTTACATCGTTGGGAGAAGATACCCCCACAAGTGTAACCAGTGGAGGAGGCATCATCTGCATAAAGTGTAAACTAAGTTGACACACATATATTACATTTCCTCCTTGATAAATGAATATTCTTGATAATAATGCAACGATTAAAAAAGACCAACTCGTAATAATATATACTCCTTAGGAAGTCAATAGTATAACCAAAGCAGATGCTCAATGATTGCACGAGAGCTGGTGGTCTTATAACAATAGCTTTTCATGGAAAATATGTGAACTTTTACCAAAGATCAGACATACAAAAGAAAAATTCATAAAAAGTAAATTTCAGGCCTACCATTTTTGCCCCAAGTCCAACAACCATGTGATGCAATTCTTTTCCCATAATGAAGGTATATGAAGGAAACATTATGATGACAACGAACCCCTTCCAAACATATTTGGCATGTCCTCATGTGGCATGCCTTTTCCATTGTCCTGCACAATAGTTCACCAATGTGAATAATTCATACAACCACGAGATTCTATATAATCCAAATATTTAATTGATGAACAAATACATATTTCCATCTTTTCAATAGGATTGCATTATTACTTTTTCTTTCTTTTCAACAGTTCACACTGATACATATTCCCTTTATGTTCAACTGATGCACATTTTGTTTCTTTTCTACAGGATTAAACTTACATTATTAATTAACCCAACTTGAAAGAGCAAGTATGACTCGACATTTTTTATCCAAATAACAAAGAGGAAATTAAAAAGATAGAACACCAGGCACCAAGCAAACCCAAAACAAAATGCTAAAATTAAAACAGGGGACAAATCCTTTCCAAATGTAAGTCATCTCTATTAGCCTAACACTTAGATAGTGATGGACAATTAGGATAATACCTGAGTTCAAATAAATGAAAGTTGTGAAAGAGTAGAGAGTAAAGCGAGTGATGGGCCGAGTTGTTTAGGGAGAGCACTAGCTTGGGAGGCATTCCATGGATCTTGATTCCATGTTAGGTAGAAGAGCACAGGAGGCCCGTTACCATTCATTTTGAGTTTTGACATCATTACACATGAGTTTATAAAGCTTAAATGCAAATGTCCATATTTGTGTGCAAGTTGATAGATACATACAACAGGGATGTAGGCCAACTAGTAGACGCATCTGACTTTTTATGTATAAACGCATAAAATACTACATAAACTGAAAACATTTTCATACATAAAACCTACTATTAGCACATATATTTAAACTTCATCTCTTAGTAAAAACAAACTTTAACATGTCCATGTGTACCTCAATATGCATGCTTGTACATATCTATCTCTCTCTATATATATATATATATATATATAAAAGTAGTTTAAAAAGCGGATTGGTGCCCCAGATCGGGCACCCCAAAAACCAATCTGGATCAGTAAACCGGTGATTTGAATCGGGAATAGGCCGAATCAGTCTGATTCAACCTTAAAAAAATCAAAAAATTATTAAAACTCATTATAAATATTGTTTTTTAGTAATCCAATAAGAAATGGGGGTACTCCATTAAAAACTTTCTTTTTTTTACATCAATATATAAATATGGAGATGTTCTTTCCCTGTATGAACTACTGTTAACTATTCAATTAACATCACACAAAAGGTGAAGCATAGAATTATTATGGGTGAAGCATAGAATTATTATGGGTGAAGTATAAATATCTAAAAATAGTGTTATTTTAGTTTCCAAATGTAATTAAGAGTAATGCATTATGTATTTTCATTACTTTGTAAAAATAAGGGAATACTGATTTTTTTTTTGTCTAGATATCTGTATAATTATTAATTATAATATAATATTATAAAAAATAATAATTTCCCATATAAAATGAAATTAGAATCATATCAAAGTATTAAATAGTTATTAATTTGCTTTACTCATCCAAAGTTATCACAACCTAACTAACTATAATATTATATAATGAAATTGAAATTGTTAGTTTATATTTTATAATTATTTTACTATACAAAAGAACAAATTTAAAATGTCTTATAATATCATCTAAGTTAAAAATGTATTTACAACTATAAGAAAAACAATACATTATATAATTTATAATGTAAATAAAGTAATAAAGTAAAATACAAGATTATCAATGTACAATTATAATTNTAAATATTAATAGTGGAACTATGATTAAAAATTTAATTTAGAAAAAATGCTTCTATATCA